TGAAATGTATGCAGTAGAGGTGAAATCATGTTTCTAAAACCGTATAGGTACTGCTCTTTGTGGAGGGCATACGCTTGAAACTGATGCTGCAGGTTGGAGGATAGACTTATCAGGGTGAAGGAGGTGAGAGACATGAAACTGGATAGCATCAGAGCCTGCAAAACAGCTGCAGTGTAGGAGCTTCACATGTGTGTCAAAACTCTGAAAGGCCTTTTCTGGTGTTCTATATAGTCAACTCCCACTCTCCTCCTTCTGGTCTTTAAACTTCCATTAGAGTTCTTAGGCCAGTTCTTCTGCTTCTTGTCCAGAAAGCCTTTGAGTTTATTTGGATTATAGGGTCCCAGTCGGGGCACCTTGCCTTCAGAGGAAAAGTTAAAATGTTCAGAGAGAGTTTTGGTCATCTGAACTGGGGAGAAGACATTCGACTGGCTAGTCAGATTGCTTCACATCCCACATGATGAATGATTATTCAGCCTAAAATGCCAGTAATGTCAAGGTTGAGAATCTCCACCTAAGCAAATACAATTTCTGTATACATTTTCCTTGTTTGTCGTGGTTTCCAGTATAATACCTATTAAGGCTTATGTTTGCTTAACTCCTTATAGGAAGGAAGCATATATATATATATATATATATATATATATATATATATATTCTTTTCTCCCAAACTTAGAAGACACAAAACTGAATTGATTGAGAGGAGCTAAAATATTGAAGAACTTGTAACATCTACATAGTGCTTGTAATTTAATGCCTTTTTTTTTTTTTTTTAGGAAACTCGCCAGATTTGAGGCATATTTTATTTCTAATTGTCTAGTTATGAGATCTTGAACTTGGAAAATACTCTAAAGACAATCCAGACTAGCTGCTTTTCTTCATCAGGGGACCTTTTGATTTTTCTAAATACTGAATTGAAATTCAATTGCAATCATTCTCAGGTGCCAGACTGTGAAATTGGTATTTCCTCATTTAGACAATATCAGAATATATGGTAGCCCTCTTTGCATAGATATATACTGTGTGTATGAATTCATTAAGAATATTAATTGCAGAAAAAGTCACTGGATGATCTTGATAGCTCTTTTCAGCCCTGACTTAAACTTCCCTATCATATTTACTTACTAAGTAGGGCAAAAAGAGACTGCACAATGTGTCTCCTATGCATAAATATACAACTTGTTCATTTTTCATGGACCCAGACACATTTAGATTTTTACTTCTAATACATTCCTACCCCTTATTTACTTAATGTTAAAGACATCTTTTATTTTTCATTTAAAAACTAATATGTTTTAATTATGTCCTTGATAAGAAACCCTTTTTTCCATCTTTTTTTATTTGAATTAGAAACAAGATTGTTTTACATGTCAGTCCCAGTTCCCACTCCCTCCCCTCCTCCCCTACCACCCCCACAACTGAAACCCTATCTATAACATATCCTTTCTGCTCCCCAGGGAGGGTGAGGCCTTCCATGGGGGGGTCATCAGAGTCTATAATATAATATAATATCCTTTGGGATAGGGCCTATAATATCCTTTGGGATAGGGCCTAGGCCCACCCCATGTGTCTTCGCTCAGGAAGTATCCCTCTATATGGATTGGGTTCCCAAAGTCCACACCTATGCTAGGGATAAGTACTGAACTACTACAGGAGGTCCTGTAGATTTCCGAGGTCTCCTCATTGAAACCCAAGTTCCTGGGGTCTGGATCAGTCCCATGCTGGTATCCCAGCTATCAGTCTGGGGACCAAGAGCTCCCAGTTGAGAAACCCTTTTTTATTTAAACAAAATTTATTTTTCATTTTACATACCGACCCCAGTTCCCCCTCCCTTCTCTTCTCCCTCACCCTTCCCACCTACCATACACTCCTCAGATGGGGCAAGGCCCTCCTTGAGGAGTCAACAAAGTCTGGCATACAGAGCTGAGGCATGACCAAGCCCCTCCCCCCTGTATCAAGACTGAGCTAGGTATCCCTCTATAGGGAGTGGCTCCAAAAAGCCAAATCATGTACCTTACAGAACTGTTTCCCTACTACTGTCATATCTATCTATCTATCTATCTATCTATCTATCTATCTATCTATCTATCTATCTATCTATCTGTGTGTGCACACACACATGCATATGCAATTTGATTATAAAGACTTTTGGAACAAATTGCTGTACCCTCTTAAAAATAATCCAAGTATGGAATACAGTGAGAAGCTTCACACAGCAGAGTTAATCTATTCATTCAAAGGTTGGAACTGGAGTGCTCAGATACTTGGATGATAAAAGGAAATGTTTTTCCTCATATGTACAATTCATGGTATCTTTTAAATAGCCCCAGGAGAGGAATGCCAAGCTTTGCAGTTTATTTTTTTAACTAATAAGTTGAAAGATAACATTCTCTCGCATTGTGTGATATAAAGGCACAGGAAGACAAAGCTGGAAGCCAGTGCATTTTAACATAAAGGTACTGACATTTCATTATGCAAAATAGCATTACTATCAGCAGAAAATAACTAGAAGGGTATTGTGATTCCCATAAAAATTTAAAGAATATTCGTTTTTACTTAGAGTTGAGTTAAACCATTTTCATGTTATTGCTAAAAATTAATTTTATTGCTTTTGAAATGTATTTATCTTTTATTTGGATCATGAAACTGTGAATTCTAGGCCAAGCTTTTGGCCAATTGCCTGTGTGTCTTTGGACAAACCTTACTGGGTGTACATTTTTATTGTAGAAATTTATAGGAGTGGAATAATTTGTTTCTAATCATTCTTCTATCTTTAATACTTTGTATGAAGATTCATAACTAAAACATATTTACAACATATTATTATATTTTATCATTTTGGCAGTTTCGTGAGAAAGGCCAATAAAACAATATTTTCTCTTTGCAAATGAAAAAATAGGATTAGGCAGTTAAGTGACTTGACCAGGTCTGGGATGTGGGAGCCCTCATACTGTGTCCAACACACTCTCAACCCTCCCTGAACAATCAATTTTTAAAAGCCTTCTTTTTGCTTTATTTCAAAAATGAAACCTTAAAATGTACACCCCTGATGATAAACATAAACTCCATATTTTAAAAAGTGGTATGAATATTCATACCTCATTTACCCAGAGATCTGGTACACATAGCAACCTATGGAGATTGGATAGCGAATTCAAGATGCATGTCTACTTGTTGTGATTGGTAGCATCTTCCTGTATCCTAGTCTGAGAATTAATTGAGTCCAAGTTTTAAGTTCTGTATGGAAGTGTATTCTGTAATATTAGCCACCTATTCCATGAGCAGTAGAGAGTGGTGTGGTATAGAGCTATTCATGGACAAAACCTTTGAAAGAAACAACTTGAGAATTTATTAATGTCTTATGAAGGGTTTGACATTGACTTGCCTTACAGCAGATGGTATAGCTGAAAAGTTGAGCTTTTATTATAAATTACCAGTATTTATCCCTAGTACATGAATGAACTTTGGAAGCCCATTCCCCACGGAGGAATACTCTCTCATCCTAGACACACTGGAGAGAACGTAGGCCCTGCCCCAAATGATGTGACAGACTTAGGATGATCCCCCATGGAAGGCCCCACTCTCCCTGGGGAGTGGATGGTGGTGGGCATGGGAGAATGGGAGGGAGAGGGAACTGGGATTTATATGTAAAATAAGATTGTTTCTAATTTAAACAAAAAAATTAAAAAAAGGAGTGTCCTTAAAGTACTTGAGGTCTTCATTTGTAACTGTAGACTATGAAAGCATGGAGAAGCTTCTGAATGGGTTTTAATAAAATATAGCTTTAATAAAATATGTATCAAACATATATGTGTATCTCTATGTGTTTGATATATTATATGTACATGTTTAGTTTACCTCTTGTACAGATCACATATGTGTTTAGTGTGTGTGTGTGTGTGTGTGTGTGTGTGTGTGTGTGTGTGCAGTACATATGGGATACACATTTTAAGACCCTCAGTGAATGCCTGAAGTCATGGCTAATCCTGAGCACTACATATACTATATTTGTTCGTGTATGTATATACATATGATAAAATTTAATTTATAAATTAGAAATACTAAGAGATTAACAGCTAGTAATAAGACATGCTAATAACATGCTGTAATAAAAGCTGTATAAATATGGTCTCACTTCATCATATATTCAAGTTCCGTCACACTGTAGTAATATTTCTGGACTTCAGGTGACTATGGGCAACTTAAACCCTAAAAAATGAAGCCATGTGTAGGGTGAACCATTTTCCTAAAAATCAGTGCTCTCTGGACTGTGTTAAGAGAGAATGACGATCTTGAGAACCAGTGATGGCCTGCCCCCTGCAGCTATTCCTAGAGATGGGGGCTTTATAACCCTTTTATCCCCTATCTGAGCTTTGCAATACTTTTGGAATTCCAGTTGTGTATTTCCTTGTGGGGGGGGAGGTTTAGAATTCTCGAATTGGTGTGGCTAAAAGAAGTTTTGGAGCCAGAATTCAGACCAAGGTTTAATAGATATCAAAGTCATTTATTTTAATGTAAGTAGATTACAGGGTATAGATTTGAGAGTATCAATATTTCCCAGTGAAGGTCTATAAGCCCCCCGCCCCCAATTTGAGGAGAGTGTTTGGATTTATGTTTCATTATCTCTATATGCTGGATGCCCCAGGCTTCAAGAGGAATGTGATATACACAATAAAAGAGCCATTATTTCTCAATGTTTGCCAATGTGCCTGTGAGTTGTTTCTCTGTAGAGTGTTGTGTTTCATCCAACAAGGACTGCTCTGGGTTTAGAGAGTTTACTTTAATCGAGACAAAAACTTCCCTGAAGAACTTTTATTGTTGGGGCAGTATATTATACACGAACTGTACTTTTATGTTATTCATGGATAGAGGCAAAGTTTAGGTAAAAAATGTGTAATTTCAGATTTATCAAAATATAGTATCTGAGGTATGCAATAGGGTCATCAATTGAAGCAGTATATGTAATTTGCATGTCATTTTCTTTTTCTTCTTCTTTCCCCCAGATTCCTTGGTGTTACTCAGTTTTCACCTACGCATGCCAGGAAGGCATTTCCATGTTTTGATGAACCAATCTACAAAGCCACTTTCAAAATCAGCATCAAACATCAAGCAACCTATTTGTCTCTGTCCAACATGCCAGTGGAGACATCCGTGTTTGAGGAAGACGGATGGGTCACAGACCACTTTTCACAGACCCCTCTCATGTCCACATACTATTTAGCCTGGGCGATTTGCAACTTCACATACCGAGAAACTACTACCAAGAGTGGGGTTGTAGTAAGTATTTTCAGCCTAATGATGCTTTGGATAAGGTTCACCCTGTAAACTAACCTAGTTTCTAGGTTCACATGTATCACTTGTAGAGCTTTCATATCTGACACAGACAATGTCTTTAGTTATTGGATGTTAAATGTAATCCCTGTTTCAAAGTCAGACAATTACTTTTCTCCCCTATAGTCTTATTTTCTTTCTTTCTTTTTTTTTTAACCATCTCCATCCCCCTGTTTCATGGACCTTGGTTTTCCTTCTCTCCACCCCAGGCCTAGGTATTCTGAGAACAGCTCTTGACTTTTCTGAAAAATTTCTTGATTCCTGTTGCATCTTTCAATTGTGATTATTTTCAAATGTATACAAAATGTACCAAATGATACAATGAAGTCCACATACCTATTAGCTGGGTCTGAGGAGTGAATGATAGTGAATAGAATTGAAGCTCTCTGGCAGGAATCCCTGATATCCTCTCTCTTGGGAACTCTAGCCTCAACTTTTTATTTGTCCTTCTCATGCATTTTATTGTATATGTATTGATTCACTTATTAATACTTGGCATACTTTAAAATCCAAGAGACTGGAGACTAGCTGTCAATACATTGTATAATTACTTCATTTACTTTTCTTAGGTAGTGTGATGTACTGTAAATATTGTCTGCATTAAATTTGTGGTAAAGACAAGTGGCTTATCTTTGATGGCCCTCCCGACTGACATTAAGATGTTCTAGGCACTTTTCTATTGCATGGTGTCATTCTAGGCTGAGCCATGTTGAATGAGCAATTTCTTCCTCATTTCAATTTCTTCTATAATAACTATGCATTTATTTTAATTTTCATATTAATTATAAAGACAATGTGGTTCTTTTCCCACATGAGTAATTGGAGTTTAAATAGATTAAGTAACCTTCCCAGGGTCAAAAGCCACAGTCAAATCGGTTGGTTTGTGCCCAAGGTTTGAGCTTTCTCTCCTGTGCCCAGGGAATCTCTTCTATCACTTAACCTGCATGTCTTTGAGAGAATTTATCATGTGATCTTCCCCACCACATAGCTCCTATATTCCATTTTCCTTGCTCATAACATAATAAGTGAACAGAAAGCTATGTTTTTAACCTGTAGGGATTCATAGCTCTATAATAACCTGAATTTTGAAAAATAGTTTTGGCTAAAGAACTTTTTCTCACTGTTTCTTTTATTTAAATCACTGTGGAGCCTGCTTTTAAAAAATCTGCTTGTATACAAAATTAATGCCATTATTGAAAAAAACTAGAGAGTGAATTCATCTGTGTAATCATTTAAAACAATACCATAAATGCTGAGTATAGAGGGCTAGCATGCATTTTACTCTTTGGACTTATAGTAATTTGAAATGTTGAGTTTTTCTGATACTTGGTGATGTCTTCTATGGACACTTCAAGACTGAGCTCATTGGACCATACACAGAAAAGGAACATGAAGACATCTCATTTCCTTCTGTGTCTTCAAAAGTTGGTGATTGACTTGCAGTGGCTCAGCTGCCATAAAATATAGTGGAAATGCTTTGGCCTGGTATATATTCTCTAAAAGACCATGAAAGTATCCTCAGCCCCACATAATTCTGCTTGCTGCTAAGCCCTGTTTGTAAAACCACTCTAGTTTTTCAGATGTGACTTTTTTTATTGTTAAGAATCTCTAAGTAATCAGTAAGCGTTTTAACGTCTATACTTAGTAATTTTAATGCAGAAAAGATAAAACACAGTAGCAGTGAACATTGAAAGGTCAACGGAAGGGAAATTTCAGTCTGTATCATCTAAAAATACTGAAATCAGTAGAAAGGAAAGCAGAATCGCCGCTGGGAACCCTTGTTTATCAACTGTGGAAATACAGTTTGAAACTCCACTCTCTTTTTCTGTCACCCCCTTTGAAATGCAATCTATTTTCTTCTCACTGACTTTCCCCTTTATTACTGGGGGCACCTGGGAATGACATTTCTCAACCCTTAGCAGATGGGAGGAGAAGAGATTTAGCTTTAGAATCTTGGCTGTGGGATGGTCATTTGAGGCCCAGGTGGTCATTTGAGATCAGAAGCTGCAGCAATTTTGCTTGAGCTATGAGGTAGGAACTTGAGTAGCATATTAATAATACGGGGCTGAATCCCACAATGCCCTAGGTGTAAGTACTAGAGTCACTGCCATTGCCATCATTATCTGCTTTGCAAGCTGCCTTTTTTTTGCAAAACACTGTTCAAAATAATTACAAAGATGAAGAGTCTAAGATACCCCTGGTATAGAGGTTGCAAATGCAAATTAGATATTTAATCCTAATCTGTAAATGTTCTGAGTGTATCTATTCCTAAAACATCTTATCATTTTTTCTTAAGCAGTGTTAATATCTACAAATTGAGGGATTGCACATAAGATAATTTGTCTTTTCCTGAAGAATCAAACATGTAAATGGGTTTCTCTGTCCCACCCCATTCCCCAGCTGCTTCTAAAAAATCACTCAGAGGCTTAATATTAATTACAGTCTGCTTGGCCTAGCTCAGGCTTATTGGTAACTAGCACTTACGTCTAAATTAACCCATTTCTATTTATTTATATATTGTCACATGGCCGTAGCTTTACTTCTGGCATCCTTCTTGGGTGGCTGGTCTGCATCTCCCTCAACTCCTGTATTTCTCCCTCACCCTTCTTTCTCCCTGTATTGACTTTGGCTTTCCCACCTAGCTACATTTTGCCTTGCTATAGGCCAAAGAATCTTTTATTATCAACCAATGAGAGCAGCATAAATTCACAGCGTACAGACAGGTTACCCCACAGCAAGATCTTGTATCACTTGACTAATGTCTGTATTCTGTAATGTTTTCTCATTCATTTATTCAAGAGACATTTATTGACTGGATGCTACAACAGATGCTGGATGGACGCTGGTAATACAGCAGCAAACAGCAAAACTGTTGCTTCTAGAGATCCCGTGTTCTAGTGAGAGGCAATAATCATTCACACCATGTAAGGTGATTATGCTGTGAAGAAAGTCAATGGGCTACAGTTAGGTGGTGACCAGTCTGTTCATATTTGGCATTAACTTCTCATGACAACATATTCTAGATCAGTTTTGTTCTTTTGGGCTCAGTCCACCTCACAGTTATATATTACTTGCTGCAATCCTGTATACAGTTAGAGTTCAGCCTTAATTTTGGAATGCAAGACAGGAGGAAAACCAGGGACGTAATAAGGAAAACAACAAATTCGCCAGTTATGAATTAGCACCACTAGTATTCATTAATTGTCCAGCCTGAGAAAAACAATCCCAAGACCACTAGAAGGGACAGAGAAATTCCTAGCAATTGCAGTGTAGGCATGTGTCTCATGAAGGAGAGATAGGAGGACCTTGAATGATGATTTGGTCCCAGGGAAGCAGATGCTGTGTGTGCATGCTGTGCTTAGTTGTGGAAATATTATCAGGAAGAAATATAGATGTAGGGAAGTCTGTATGGAAACTGGTGTAGTAGAATGACTAAAGATGGGGTTTTACCATCAGATAGATCTGTTTCTGAGTTCTTGCCTTCCTTCTCTGTGACCTTGGTTCATTACTTAAGCTCTCTCTAGTTTTCTTGTTTGAATACTCAATGTATAACTTCTACCCTTACTGTGCTGTTCTGGTTCCTATGCTTGCAAAACAAACTACTGTAAAAAAGGATTTGCACTATAAATCTGGTGTATTATGTCTAGAGCTTCTGTGGTATGGAGTTGGAGCACAGAGTGGAAGCAACTTGTCTCTGTTCAGTTGGGTCTCAGATGGGGTGACATGATGACTGGCCTCTTACAACCAGGGCCAGAATCACCTGGAATCATATCTGTTTGGAGGTTTATTGTTAGTCTCCTGAGATATCAGCTGGGTCTGTGTGCCATAGCAAATGTTTGTGGTGTCTGCATATCCCAGGCTTGGTTAGAATATGGTATAGAGTTGGGGAGGTTCCATTTCTTACAAGGTGGTTTAGAATACTGTCTTAGTGAAGGTTTCTATTGCTGTCATGGAACACCATGGCCAAAGCAACTTGGGGAAGTGTATGTGGCTTATGTATCCTTATGTTTATTTTCCTTATGTATTAGTTACAATCCACTGAGGGAAGCCAAGGCAGGAACTCAAATTGGGAAGGAACCCATAGGCAGGAACTGAGGCCGAGGCCATGGAAGACTACTGCTCCTCATATTTGCTCCTCATATCCTGTTTTCTTATATAACCCAGGACCACCATCCCAGGGATGGTACCATCTGTAATAGGCTGGGCTCTTCCATAGCAATTACTAATTAAGAAAATAATCTATGGGCCTGTCTATAACCTGATCTGATGGGCACATTTTCTCAACAGGGGTTTCCTTATCTTAGATGACTCTAGCCTGTATCAAAATTAGGCAGTATAAACACCAAAAGTAAGTGCCTTAAATAGCTATAAGAAAGCTATATGGGGCTATTTCTGATGTCACATTTTATTATTTCTATGACATAGTTATTTTTCTTCATAAGTTAGTTACAAGTGATAGTCAAGGCTCAACAGATGAGTGTGTACCTGCCAGATCTTAATGGACAGAATGCCAAAGAATTTGTGATCTTGTTTTAAAATTAGCAGTCTTCTCTCTCTTCACAAACTGTTTACACCCAATCCACATAGAATATATACTCTCTAGTAGGAATCAGCTGACATATAACATAATAACATATGCTGACATTTGAGATCCACAGCCTTCCAAGCCATCTGAGATCCAGGTGCAGACAAGGTGACTCGGATTTGGTTACATGGGCATATCGCCCCTCACTTAGAAGACCTGTTATAAAGACCGCCAGGTGTTTATCTCTCTCCAATATCCTCCAACCCCCAGGCCATGGTGAAGTTAGGATATGATTGTAATAGCCATCTGTATTCCAGAATAGAAAATAATGTGCAGATCCAGCAGTCAATGGCCTGTAGCAATTCTGAAATCCAACTGGGCAGTCTTGCCAGTTCCTAAGCTATGGTTCAGTGCTGTTCCC